CTCGTCTTGTGGGGCGTCTCCCCCTGCCACTAGCACTGTGTCTTGCACAGGCAGCTACAGATGCAGCGTGGGGGAAAGACAGGCACCTCTCCTAGCCCCAAGTTCTTGCTCACAGGCTGTGCAGGAAATTTCATATACAAGGCAATAACAATAACAATAACAATAACAATAACAATAACAATAATAATAATAATGAAAGGCCACCTTTGCCAATCAGCAACTGACAACTCACCGACACGAGTCCCCGGATGGTGAAGTGCAGGTTTTTCAGCTTGTCTATCACGGCCTCTCCCAGCGGTGGTGCGAAGGCTGGGGAGCAGCTCCACTCCACTGAAATGAGAGAGGAGTTCGTGCGTCCCTTGGCAGCCTCAGTACTGAGGCCAGAGACTGGCGTGGGCACAGAGAGGGTCTCAGAGCCCCGCAGCTGCAAAGGGACTGCCTGAAAACTGAGTGTGGCCTCTGGCCTGGACATCTGCATAAGTGGGACACTGCTGAGCAAAGACAGCAGGAGGCACAAGGAGAGGGACAGCACAGAGGACTGTCTGGCACCCCGTGGACTGTGACCCATCCCCTGAGCCATGTCGGACAGGGTCAGTGCCTTCATGAGCCGAGAATAAGCACAGAGGTGGAAAGGGAAAGATAGATGGGTGAGAAAAAGGTGAGAGGGACCCAACTTGAATAAACAGATGTTGGTTCAGGACTTAGTGGTACTTGATAGAGGAGAATTCTCCCAGAAGCCAAACATATCTATGTTTAAATGCTTGGGGAGAGCAGCAACAGATGTTAACACCAACTGGGCCTGGAAGTGGCAGGACTGCAAAGCTCTACAGCGTGCAGGAGAAAAGGGTGGCAAACAACAGGCATCCTGAATTTTGGCTTGGTCCAGGATGTTGATTCAGGGCAGATGCAACAGTTTGGATGGCAGCCAGGCCATCTCTGGGATGTGCAGCCCTAGTCCCTCCCAAGCACTGTGGCATGTTTTCCCAGCAAGGAAGTGCACAGGGAGAGCGCTCCTTCTGCGTCCCACTCGTACTGCGGTGGGCAGCAGTGACGCGGGGCGCCGAGAGCCAGACCTTTGTACTTGGTGACGACAGCAGAGTTGACGCTCAGGGGCTCCCAGAAGGTCACGTGCACAGAGGAGCTGCTAGCCACAGAGAGGTGGACATTGCTGGGGGGGTCCGGCACTCCTGGGGATGCAGAACGCAAGGACGGTTACAGCAATGACCATCACCCCCGGCCCTTCACTGCCTTGTGTCCCTCCTGGACCTTCCCTCCCCAGACCAGGGTCACCTTCCCAGAGACAGTGACTGATGTACAAGCCCCCAGACTGCAGGGTGCTGGATGCTGCAGCGCCTGCGCTCCAGCGCCAGACCCACATATCGCCCCCTCGCACGCGTGTCCCCTCCGTCCCTCCAGCCGGCACTCACGGGCGTGCTCAAACCCGGCCTTCATCCGCTTGTACAGCCGGTATCGCCACTCCCAGGCCTTGAGCTGCTTCTCCTTCTCAGAGCAGTCAGCGTTGGGAGCCTCGTTCACCACTTGTGCTGTCAGCTCGTTGACACGCTGCTCCGCTTCCCGCACCAGCGTGGAGAGGTGCAGGGAGCGGCTCTCCAAGCTCACGACTGGGGAAGCACACAGGCAAGGACGGGCAATGTTGAAAGGGAGAGAAGACGATTAGGCCATGCCCAGGTCCTGCTGGCACCCCAAATCCCCGTCTTCCCCACGGTCTACTGCTCCTGGACACGTGAGTGACTCCATCACTTGCCCAGCTCTTCACCTCTACCAGAAGAGTGGGGCACACCCAGTGACAGCCTGCACAAGCCGCAAGCACCTGGGGACAGCACAAGGGAGACCCCACCTTGCCCTGGTCCTGGGAGATCCTGACCGCAGCATGTGCTTAGGCTCCAGGGAGACTTCTGCTGTCCATAATAATGTAGGTCCCAAGCCCTCATCAGCTCCCCTTTCCTGCTGGCTGACCAGTGCTCGGCTGATGCAGCATGGACACGGCCAGCGCTGCCTGGGTGCGGAGGCTGGCACCTCCACTGGCACGCAGGGCAGAGACACCAGCCATGCTCTGAGTAGCTCAGAGAATGTCCTCCCAGCTGCCCAAAGAGGAGAAGCTTCTCCCATCCTGGGGATAGTCGCCTCACTCAGGCTTTGTTATCTAACGTCCCCAGTTATGCTGAGCTACAGACCCCGGAGACATGGCTGGGGAAGCTCACCCGATACCAACTTACAGTGTGGGCTCTCCTTTGCTCCTGCTTGGAGCAGTGCCTTGGCTATGGGAGCGTTGTTGGTCATGATAGCAATGTCCAGGGGAAGCAGTCCCTCGCTGTTTGGGGTGTTGAGATCCAGCTCCTCGGGGCTATACTGCTTCAGCAGCTCCTGGACCCTGTCCAGATCCTGCAGCTCCACGGCCTCAAAGAGAGCGGCATTGCTCTGGATCTGGACAGAGCAAGAAACACAGGGTGCCTGAGCACGAGGGACCGTGCCTTCATCCCACCCAACACCTCAGGCCATCACCAGCACCACAGAGGCACCAAACAGGGCGGCTGTCCCTGTATCAAGGCACGAGTCCCTTACAGACACAGCCAGTTGAGGAACCCCTTGGGCCAGCTCCAGCTAAGCTTGCTGCAGCAGGGCTTCATTTCATGCAGCCTTGGACTTCCACCCCAAGGCCAGCACAGACAGCAGCACCACCCACACCTGCATCCCTCTTCCCCATGGAACATGGGCAGGGCCATGGAGTGACCACTGCCAGGGCTGCTGCACTGCTGCTCACGGGACACGGACCAGGTAGGACTTGCGGAGCTTCTCCTTCTCGCTTCTGCCCGCCAGGCCGCCCTCGTCGAAGGACGTGTAGTTGACGCGGAATTTCCCTGACAGGTTTCGGTAGAGCCTTTTGGCAGCATTCGGCGAGGAAGGGCCTGGTGGCTTCCTGGCCTGTGCCAGCTGGAGGTCCCGCATCTGCTGTGTCATTTTTGGGGAGGATGACCTAGGAAATGGAGAAGAAATGCGGGGTAAAGAAGGCAGGTGAGTATCCAACCCAGCTCAGCTGCAAGAGAGCACCAGAAAGCCGAAGGCAAGCAGTCTGTGGCAGCAGGGCTGCTTTAAGGCTCCAGAGAGGAACCCAGGACAAGCCAGATGTCATCACTTCTGCTTCAGGGTGCCACCAAACACAGGGAAGATGCAAGGTGGGAAGTGATGCCAGTAATGCCCTCATGTATGTGTCATCAAAAAAGCTGCTTCTTCCCTCCTCCTCATCGCTGTCTCTTGGTCCCATGGGGGTCTGTTTGCACAACACCTGCAGGTGAGAGATTTCCTTCGAGTCCAGGAGTGAGGGCTCGCCTGTTCCTGCCCTGCTCTTGGAGCCCAGACAGACATGTGCTTGCTCAGCCACCACAGCGAGCTCAGCTCTGCAACCAACCCACCAAACTGGCAAGAAGCTTCTTTACTCCCAGGCTCTTAATGTCCAGCTCATGTAGAGAAGAGCTGCATCTTGTCGGGGGCTGTGCAAGCCCACTTGGTACCCAGGCTCTGCGTGCTCCAGTGCCAAAGGCAGCCCGTGTCGCTCCTGGGCACACTGCAGGGGAGCGCTGCCCACTGCAGTCAGCTCACAGTGGCCTCATCGGAGCGCTCTGCACTTACCTTCCTAACAGGAATCTGTCTCCTGCTGTTTATCACCATCCCTGAGCTCTCTTTTGTCTCACTGCTACATGGGGCTTTTGCCCATGTGCCATCTGTTACAGAACCAAGTATTTTTACTGGCATCAAACATCTGATCCCCTTATTGCTGCAGCCAGTGGCACAATTCTCAGGAAGGGAGCAACAGGTCTAACGAGCACTTAGTCTAACTAAGCTTAACACATTTTTTTTTCTCATTTTGACCTCATATCCTTGTGTATAAGGTCAGATCTTGGGGGGCAGGTCTTCCCCGGGTCACTTCATTGGTTAACTATCAAGCAAGGGTTGAGCATGATGGAAAGCAGGACAGTTGTCTAGAAGGTCATGCCAAAATGCTACTGCAAAGCTGCTACTGCGATGATGATGTTCATGAAGTAATCATGAGAAAGCAGGACATTTATAACAGCCACACTATGTGCTCCTCATCATCCTGATTTCAGATTAGGCACAGTGGGCTGCAGAAGTGATTTAATGATTTTACCTTTTATTGCTGTGATAAATAAACGCAGTAAATGGTGAGGAGGTTGGCTCCTGCTGGTCACTTCACCTCACTGGGTTCAGTAGAATGTGTTAATGGGGCCTGAGCTGCAGTGTTGAGCTGCTGCTCTGGATTTTTTTCGGGGGATAAAGTGTTCTCCAAATGTAGGGCTTTGTGTTGTCCAGTTTATGGAAACAGACCCAACAGATATACTGAGAATATCAAGCACATGAGCTTTGGAAGGCAAGTCGAATCTCCACATTCCCTCAACTGCCTGATCAACCTTGTCTCAACACAAAGGCTAGTTAAATTCATGCAGCATCTTACTGTTTCTAACAGATGACCAAGGGCAGCAGCTCTGCACATGGAAGAGACTGGCATGAGTGGCATCACCATGTGGGCAGAGACCTTGTGTAACACAGGAACGGTGGCGTGGAGAACCAGCTCTGGGCCAATTAGGGCGCATCTGGTTGTGCATGCAGATTCCTCAACTTAAGGCCATGCCTCCTCTCATTTCATCATGGACATAAAGAAGCTCCTGGCATGGCCAATACTGGCATGGCAGACCAGCTGAACCCCTCCAGTACCAAGGTGCTGGGGCTTGACACTTGGCAAATACAAGACCCCTCAAATACAAGACCCCTCAAATACAAGACCCCTCAAGCCCAGACTTGAGAAGCTTCATGCAGATCTGTTGTCACTGGTAGACAGAAACTCAAAGAGAAAACCCAGTGACGCCCTTCCAGGAATGTCACGTCTGCAGGAAAAGTCAACCAGGAAGATAGGTTCTGGCCCAAGAAGCCCAAAGAAGCGAAGTATTAACTGATATACTTAGGTAAAAGAAATAATCAAAAGATTCAAAAGATTCTGAAGCAAAATCTTGCCCTTTCTCTCATACTTAAAAGCTCCCTGCTTTTTTTCCTTCATTTCTTCACCCCCAGTTAGACCTTGGAGGTCCTGGTGTAACGGGACACTGCTGCATGCAAATCTGCAAAACCAACATTCAAAAGAGCAGTGTGCTTTGGAAGTGAGCAGGGTAGTCTTTTTTCCACCAAATAATATAGATGGCAAATGATCCAGTACAGGCAGACTCCAGAGTCTGGAGGAAGTTATTCAGAGGTAGTAGAAATAAAAGAGAAAGAGAAATTTGTCTCCATTTTCCCTCATCTGATTTGCCTGTAATGAGAAGTAAAGAGACGGAAATTATTCAGAGCTCAGGAGTGAACATCAATCTATATTAAACCGGCTGCCCCAAAGATAAAAGAGTTTCCTGTCCTGTGGTTATGACTCATCTGGCCTCAGTGAAGTGGTCCTGATTTATCTAGAGCTAAACCGTGTGGTGGAGCAACTGATAGCTGCAAACAACCCCCGCGGATGCCGTGTCCTCACGGTCCAACCAGCCAGCACGAGCTCACCCTGATGGCAAAGCCTCCTCCTGCCAGGGCGGTGGTGGGAGAAGGTCAGAGGAGCCAGGGGCTCTACAATTAGCTCATCTGCCCTTGTGGTTTCAGGGAAGCTGAACTAAATTTATCTCCACCACCATCAGTTCTTGCTGCTCCTGAGTTGCCTACAGACCATTGCAAGCACTGCTGCATGGGGAAGGGCCCCTTCCTGTGCCAGTGCCATGCGTCCTTCTGGCTGCAGGACACACTGGTGACTGTGAGGAAGATGGCAAGGACAACAAGACCACACTCCATAAAGCCACATGCAAGCAGTTACTAACAAACTCCATCACCCAACCCATAGAAAAGGCTGAGGTACCTCCAAAGGATGCAGTAGGGTTGGCCAGACCCATTTCATTAAAGCAATGCCTTTTGGTTTGTTTGTTATACAAAAAAAGACATGAGGATGGATGTGCATAAGACAACTTCATTTTATCCTTCTCTTTTCATATAATGAACACAAGCAAACCCACTGGGTAGTTTATAATGTTGTGGTTTCAGCATACCCTTGGTTTTAATGTTTCCAGCACTGCAGATCTTGGCCTAGTAAACTGTGTTAATAATTGTTGTAATTATATGATTTTAAGTGCATTTTGTTTAAGGGCGTAGCCCCTCCGAGACTCCAGCAGAGAACCAGTCCGTGTCAGCCAGGGCCACTCTGTCCTGTGAGCCGAGATGCGCAGAGCAGACCCCCACGCGCCCCAGGCCAAGGCCACCTATGGGCCTGCTGCCCCGGACCCACGGAGGGAGCACACGCCGTGTTTTCCTTGCTGCCAGCAGTGCCCTCTCGGGCAGAGGAGCTGGAGGTACCTGGCAATGCGTGTCCTGCCCGTAGGTCAGCACAAGTGGCTGCCTGGGGCAGCACACACTAGGTAACCCAAGCCATCTACCACCAGTAGGAGCCCAGGCTGTGGCAAGGCTGGTGTCACGACCCACTGCAAGGGCTGGCCATGCTCTTGAAGCCAAAAGCCAAGGTGGAGGCAACTAAGCCCTCACCAAGCTCTCCCCACCTTCTCCTAGCTCCCCACACACAGGAAAGGACAAGCTCATCGTGGTGCCTCCTCATGCTGGCAGCAAGAGGGCACATTCCAGCCTGGAGTGGCAGACATGAGCTCAGCGCCGTGCCCAGGAGCGATGTGGGTGGCTTGTCACTTAGAGAAACTGTTCCTGGCTCTCTGCAGCCTTATGCAGCAGAGAAAAAAAAAAAAAAAGCCATGAGACTTTGTGCACAAGGGAGTCCCAAAGACAGATGATGAAAGGTGCTGACCTGCCATACAAACAAGCTCCTTTTGGCTCTTGTGGCCCTGAACCAGAAATGCAGCTTCCAGCACGAAGAGGGCCTGCTAGTGTGCTCATATTTGATGCCCGAGTACAAGCAGTTCTTCAGGACTGGAGAAATTGAGTATGGATCTGGAACAGCGCAGGAGTAGCAAAGTGCTTCCCCATACAGCGGGATACCATCGTCTGCACTAACATACTGTGATATCCATGTCCCTGTGTTGTGAGTCCCTTTAAAGACCTATGATGGTTTTGCAAAATAACCTGACTAGACAAGCTTCTGTGCTGCTATTCCAGGCCCTTCTCCAGCAGGGTGGGCACCATGGGAATCCACTGGGAAGCCCTTATGGATGTCTGATGCTGTTCCTCCAGGATGCCATGAGTCTAGCACTGAGCATGGGTCATGCATGCTGGTTTGGGGAGCACACGGAGGATCTGCCCATGTTTGAGGGATCTCCTTTCACTAAGCACAACCCTAAGGCAGAGATGGCAGAGGGAGCATGACCAGACACTGCCTGGCCAATGGAAAACAAGCAGTGAACGAGCCATGAATATCTGTCGGATGCTCTTCATGATGCAGCGCTGCTGAGTGGGTATCAGGGGGGTGAACATGAGGTGAGAGGACAGAGGATGGAGGATGGAGGGATGCAAGACACAGCCAGGGCTGCGGAGCACTCGCGGAGGAGGCAGCGCGTTGCCTGGATGACAGCAGATTTCTCCTGTGTTCACCAGAGCAGGACATGCAGAGGAGACCTGCCCTGCAGCGTGGTCCCGAGGATGATCCTCCAGAGCCAGGCTGCCAGCCCTGCCTCTGCACCAGAACTACGTGCCCACCTCGAAAACACATGTGCTTAACCCAGCCTGGGCCTGGGGGAAGGCAGCACAGCGGGCCCAGGGCTCGGCGCGCTTCCTTCCTACGGGTTTTGTCCTTTTTTCCCACTTGCCAAAGCCCTTGGGCTTTGTTTTGAATGGAACTGAATATGAACATGCCTCTCTTGTTTAGCAAAACCAACTCTAACTTATGGAGAGGCTGCTCCTGCCAGGACATTCTTGTTTGGGCTCCAGCAACCCAACTCTCCCCGGCCCAGGAGAGAGAGCAAGCCCTTTGGAAAC